CAACAAAAATAAGCAATGTGATTTTTTTAAATGGGCAGAGTTATCTGAATAGTTACTTCTTTAAAAAAAATATGTAGATGATCAATAGGCACATAAAAATATTATGTCTTATTATTAGGAAAATGAAAACCAAAGCAACAATGAGCTATTGCTGTGAGCACTGCTATCATCCAAAAGACAAGAAACAACAGTGTTGGAAACAGTAATGAAGAAAAAGAAATGGTGTAATCTGTTATTGATGATGTAAATCAGGGGCAGTCATTACATAAAGCAGCATAGAGAATCCTCAAAAAATTTAAAATAGAAATTCTATATGGTTCAGTTATCCCACTTAAATGTCTTTCCTCCCCCAAAAAACAAAAGAACTAATTCAAGAGACATATATCTACTCTGTCTACTATAGCCAAGAGTTAAACAACCTACATGTCTACCAACAGGTGATATGGAGAAAGAAGATGTGGCATTTATATGCAATCGATACTATGCAACGGTAAAAGGAAAGATGAAAGTATGCCATTTGTAGCCAGATTGATGGAACTCTAGAGTATTATGCTTAATGAAATAAGTCAAATGGAAAAAAGATTTCACACATCTGTGGTACATTAAAAACTGAACAAATGAACTAAATATAGCAAACTAAAAATTACCTTTTAGACTAGTAGATCAAATTAGTGATCGCTCGAAAGGAAGGGGGGGTGGACAAATCAGGAAAACGAGGTGAATTGTATGGTACAGAATAGAAACAGAATTTTAGTGGTGAGTTTATTGTAGTATATATAGGCATTGCTTTATAATGATGCACACCTGAACCTAATAGCCATTCTATAGATTTATGAAGTCTTGACATTTGACAACACATGGAACTGGAGTCAAGCAAAATAAGCCAGAAGGAGGAAGGAAAATATCAGGTGATTTCTCTCATATGCAGAATGTAAAGAAAAAAAAAGACATGGCCAAAAAAATCAAACCAATACAAGTAGAGACAAGATACATATTATAAAACTCATAGATTTTTTAAAAATATTTATTTATTTGTTCATACAGAACTGGGGTACAGGCCAGAGGCTCAGGGGCGGAGAGAGGCTTCACCAGAGACAGAGTGGGGAGCAGAACAGGGAGATGAACGAAGTACACTGCTGAGGGGAGCAGCGGGCGGGTCAGGAGACATCTGCCACGCCATGTGGCAGGCGGGAATCGAACTCATGCGGAAGTGGCTTTAGCTTCTCAGTGCTGTGCTTTAACCCGCTGCACCACCATGGAGGGCCAAAACTCACATAGATTTTTTAAGACTCTTGGTCTAAATTTCACAAATGCCTCACAGACTTATTTTTTAAATGAAGATACCATTCTTACAAATTTCATGAGTTCTGCGTGAAGGAGAATGAGAAAATTCTGTTGAAGCAAGAGCAAAGTCACATTATTCCTTTTCTTTTTTAGTTAATGTGTCAATCAAACTACTCCAAAGTTTGTTCAGAAACAGAAAATATATGGGATTTTTATCTCAATAATAAATTTACATAAGAGAATATGCATCTTCTGCTCATCACAAAGGTGGAACCAGCCTTCCTAACAATGAATCTCCCTGGAAGGTGAGTGACAATGTGTTTATCCATCTCTGCTGGGATGACTCCTTTTTATGGAAGCCAAAAGATGTCTTGTCAAGAAAAAGAAAACAAAAATAAACTTTCAGGATATAACACCAATTAGAGGCTACCAGAGAGAACGGGCAAGAGGGAGGGGATGGGGGGGACAAGTACGGTGAAGAGTAAAAGTTTGCACCCTAGGGGTGAACTTAATGCTGTATATAAAGATGTTGAATAATTAGGATGCACACCTGAGTCCTATATAATTTTATAATGTACTGCTACTTCAGTAAAAGAAAATTAAATGGGGAGAAGTATAGAAGATGCAATATCATCCTTTATTTTCTTTCTCTTTTTCATTATGTATTTTTTTTACATCATTCTTCACTTTTATACAATGGATAACTTTATACAACAGATCATCTCAGGTGTAATCCCCACGAAATCCCCCCCACCAGTTCCCCCATGCACCATTACCATAGTCCCTTGTGCACTTTGACCATGTTCCCTCCTCGCCACCACCCTGCAGAGTGTCCCTTGTTTATGGTGGCCTGTGGACTTTGGTTTTTTACTTTATTATAATTTTTTTTTTTTCCCTGAACCCTTATTTGGATCCCCTATATTCCTTTTATAAATGAAACTATCTGGTATGTTTCTTTTTCTTTCTGGTTTAGGAAATGTCATATTTTATCTTAGATATTCACTCACTAAGATTTCTTTCCATCTGCAAGGAAGACAAAACCAGAAGAGAGGCCCTGGAAATGGAACACTGTCTTTTAAGGGTCTCGAGTATTAAGAACACTGAGAGCAGCCTCTAGTGGTCAATGAGCTGAAGACCAGTGAATGTGGAAAGGAATGATTATAAAGGATAAATAACTCTTTTGTTATAATTTAATTTGAGTCAGAATCTGTGGAGTTGGTGATTCCTTATCTTTTCAATAAAACAAATGTAATACCCACCCTTGTTTGAAAGCCATTATCTTTCTCTTATTCTTCCTAATTTATTTTAGCCACCTCTTCAAAAAGGGCAATAAGGGTTTTAAGTGTTGGGGCAAAAGCAAATGGATTCATTCTGGAAATTTCATAGAGATAGCTATAACAGAAAAAAAGGCTAAAAGGGGCAGAAAGGAAGAACATAACAAAATAAACAAGGGGAAAAGTAAAATAGGAAAAGACAAGAATATCAAGGTATGTATTGAAATTTTTTTTTTTAAAGATTTATTTATTTGTGCATACAGAAATGGGGTACAGGCCAGAGGCTCATGGGCGGAGAGAGGCTTCACCAGAGACGGAGAGGGGAACAGAACAGGCAGATCGAGGAAGTACACTGCTGAGGGGAGCAGCGGGCGGGTCAGGAGAGGTCTGCCACGCCATGTGGTCACCTCCGGGGCAGGCGGGAATCGAACTCATGCGGAAGTGGCTTCAGATTCTCAGTGCTGTGCTTTAACCCGCTGCGCCACCAGGGAGGGCCCGTATTGAAATTTTTTAAAGATACATTTATTTTTGTGTAGAAGAACTGGAGTGTAGGCCAGAGACTCTAGGGGTGAAAGGATAATCAGATATAGAGTGGGGTGCAGAACAGACAGATCTACTGAAATACACTGCTAAGGGGAACAGCAGGCAAGACAAGAGAGGTGTGCTGTGCCCTGTGGCTCAGCTCCCTGGCAGGGGGTGGAACTCAGTCATTAGTGGTGACAGTACTAGAGAACTATTACCAAACATCAAATCTCCAATTTACTATTGTACTTGTGTCAATTTGCCCTTGATTCATAAATTTTCCTGACAGCCTTATCTCTCTTGAACTTTTAGCAATAAAAATTATTTTTCTTGAGTCTCCCTGGTGATGAAAGGGTTAAATCTCAGCATTGTGAAGCCATCTACAGTCACTGCAGCATGAGTTCTATCCTTATTCTGCTGGACAGACTTCTGTCTCCCCCAGACCCTCTGCTCCCCTCAGCAGTGTATTTCAATAGATCTGCCTGTTCTGCTCCCCAATCTGTCTCTGATGAATCCACTCACCCCCACACCTCTGGCTTGTACCTCAGGTCTTGTATGCATAAATAAATAAATCTTTAAAAATTATTTTTAGTGATTACTGCTTTTATGTTGAATTCTACATTATCTTACTGTGATCCATAATTTATTAGATTTTAAAATTACCAAATCAATAGTTAATAGTTATTATAACAAAATTGAAATAAGTATGTAATATACAAAGCAAATGCATTTCTAAAAACTCATTTTATTTCTCTGTAATAATTGTATTCTCCTGAACAGAGGTCAAAACATAAATGTAATTCTTAAATTTCTATTCAAAGCTAATATGACAAGCCCCCTCCCTTTGTGGGCTGATCTTTATAGCCTCACTTGTAGACTTTGTCCCTTCTACTCTTTCCTCCACCACCACTCCCCATCAACCAATGTCATGAGTAATCTTCCTACAAGATAACCACTGATGCATGTCTCTGCTTAGCTATCCTCTTCATCCCCTCTTCCCCATAAGATAATATCCAACCCTCTGGAGTAAAACCCATAAGAATCTGACTCTATTCTACATAGCTTGTATATTGCTTGATCTTCTATTTCTTTCCATTTCTACACACCTTGTAACTAACTCCCCAAAATTATTCATCATGTTTTCCTCTTTCATGAATTGGTCTATTCCTTTTACTCAAACAAATGAATGTCAATCATGGTATCTTCTTAAATGTTTGTCTTGTCTACTAGGACCTTGCCCAGAGTGAATCAGCCAATCTTTGATTCACACAACGATTTATTGTCATGTCTCTCATGACCACAATCTTGTTGCATTGCTTTTTTCTGTGTTGGAGCAAGTGGAGGCAGTGACTGAACCCAGAACAGGCATGATACCCAGTGAGTGTTCAATAGATACATGTGGAATGAAAGAAGGAATGGATGAGTATATTAATTATATTGAATCAAAGCAAATACAGGGCAGCTAACACTTATGTTTTTAAATATCTATGAAAAGAAAATTGAACAAGATTGGGTGGGGAAGGTTCTAAATTTTGAGTAGCATCATTCTTGATGAATCCTATAAATGCATCACTTTTCCTCATCTCCAATTTATCTGTCAGAATACTTTAGTGGTCATGTGATGAACAATGTGTCCTGGCAGCACTAAACAGTGCTTAGATGGGAACATTTTTTAAATTTACCAAGTTATCAAGTGTTTAGTGTTGTGAATCCATCCTTAGATGGTGTTCATCTCTTTCAATAACCAAAATTCTGCTTTTTATTTTTTTTAACCACAATCTGCCTCAGGCAATGCTATATAAATCTGTTTAAAGAGATTATAAATTTTCATAAATAAGCAGACTAGAAAGAGGAAGTATTTGAAAATACTTTATTTTCTATGATAGAAAAATCTTACATAATTTTTTATCATTTCATTAATTTTCAGAATTTTCTAAGACAGTTAGAATTAAAAAAGAGTTTACACCAAACATAAAGTCTTCTGTTTTCTTTCCCCTGTAATATGGACAAAAATAATAATGAGTGCTATTTAAATGAATAGGTACAAATGATAACTGGTACTATTTTTCATCTCATGAAAATAAAGATAGAGAAGGTCTCCTATCTGATGATATTCTCTGAAGCCTTGAAAGTAAACCAAAAGAATTTTATGTTAGTTAGGTAACAAAGCTTCAGTATTTTCAAAATAAATTTTCTACTGAATTGCATTTTATGGGTAAGAAATTTTTATAATGGTAGCTCTTAGGATACATTTCATTATAGATCCTAGATCCACATTTGGGGAAAGACAAATGTCTGAATTTTTTGTTACCTGAAGTAATTTAAACTTCCAGAGCAGCACGAGTTTTAGAAATCATCTTAGGGCCCTGCAAATTAAGATCAAAAAAGTAACATCAGATAAGTAAAAGGATGTCTGTCAGTTGTACAGTTAGCTTTACAGTGTAGATGGGTAAAATCATAGATTTATAGTTTAATCAGGTTCAGAAAGAGGCATATAGCTCTTTGGCCAACTAACTGAGGCAATAAAAGCCGGAAGAAAAATCCATGCAAATTTGTATTTTGTATCTAGATCTCCAATCCATACTTCCTGCCTCCTTTCTTTACAAATCAGTAAAGAAGTCAAAAATTTCTAGAGAATTTCTGCTACTGTTTGATAATGTTCTCTACATCTAAATGGATGTATTCTTACATCAGAGAACATTGATCTTTTTATACCCTACTTATCAGAATTGTTTTACATCAAGTCTATTTTATTACTTTTTTAAAATCTGATATGATTATCTGTGTCCCACTTCTTCCTACCAAAAATAAAGACATACACTGATAAATGCACACATTCAATCATTTACTCAGATTATAAATGTTGTAAACCTCAAAATTTCTAATTACCTCTTAGTTCAAAACACCAAGCTTACAAAACACCAAATTTTTACAATATGAAATAGATAAATTGGCAAAAAGCTGAATGCTAGAATATTTTTTGAAAACAGAATGATGCTGCATATATTAGTAATATAAACCACAGGCTTACAAAATATTGCTAAAATTACAAATCCTGTTAAAATTGCTAAATAGATTAAGGTAATTCCTAATTTCTACTCTGTTGATATACAAGATCACACTTCAAAATGAATTAAAAAATATTTCCTATAAATATTTCCCCAGTATCTTGTTATTGCAATTAATTTGTTATTAAATCTCTTTAATCCATTTAGCTAGATCAATCAATTGTGGGCCAGAAATTAACTATGCTATCATCAACTGATTATATTTCAATAGATAGTTTCCACTACTTGGAAATAAATCAAAATTACTAATTCTCTTAACATAGTTTAATATATTTGTTCCTAATAGATAAATTTCTGTCAGTCTATTTCTAAGTGAAATTTAAATCTCTCTGGCATTGTTTTGAAGTGATAGATTTATAGGGTATTCTTTTCATTATCCATGATAGAAAATTTACTTACCAAGTATTTGAAAATTAGGAAAATTATCTGTACATACCTCTTCTGCAAAGCAGACTTCCTGCGCTTTGCCCTGACAGCACTTTTCCAGTAGGGCAGAGAAATCAGCAATGACCACTTCAAGTTGTTCTTCTGTTATTTGTGGCTTTTGCTTCACAAGGTTAATGAGAAACCTGATTTAGAACAAAACAAAGAACAAGAGAAGTCTGTTACGCAATGGTATTTATCTAAAGCCTTCCTCACAGAGAATTTTCAGAACCTGACAACTCCCACCCTAAACCTTCAGGCCATTAACTCCTCACCAGATTTACACCTTATGAAATGTTTTCATCAGAAAAACTGAGGCCAGAACAGCCTAAATGTTCCACGGGTCTGGACTTGTGCAGATTATAGAGGAAACATTATGTCCTAGTTCCACCACATTTATCTATAATGAAACACAGTGCTTTTCTTACTCACTTCCTTTTTTCACGTGCTTCCTAGTTCCCTTTTTAAAGCGCCTATTATCCACAAAGAGGCAAGGGAGCACAATGGACTGTGGTGGTGGCATATGGGTGATTCAGCGGTTGTTGCACCAATGGGGTGACACCTGAAGGGGGTGATTCTAACATTACCTCAATTAAATGTATAAATAAATTTATAAAAAATAAAAGAAATCTTAGTCATACTCATGGACCCACATTTTCATATCCCTGATCTCTGCAATTATTACACCTTTACCCTTACTGGCCATGTTCATCACCTGCACTATTCATTTAGCGATATGTTCACATTGAACTAATGTTAGTCAGGGAATAGAAAAGGCTTGTCAGAAGAGTTGACATTGTTACTGTACCTTGAAGCATGCTCTGGATTATGACAGAGAAAAGAGGGAAGAATAGTTTGTCCAAGCTGAAAAGACTGCTTTCGAAATGAGCACCAACATACATGGGAACTTGCAACACTTGACTTCCACGACTTACATTATAGTCACCACTCCAGAATATCTCCCATACTACAGTGAAATATGTGTTCCATGTCTTAGCCCCCCACTTCATGGTTGAATCAAATATTAGAGTTATCCTTCCCACAAAGAGTAAATAGTTTGAAAAAAGATTCAGTGGTATTTTTCCAGTACTTTGGGATGGAAGTACTCACATGGATTGCAAAGATATTTCCCCATTCTCCAAAATAGATTGTTCGTTTCCCCTCAATCCCAAATGCATCACAACATTAGTTGCAATGGAAACTATTTTTACACACAGGAAATGGTGTGTCTGGTGAATCTTTTCGAGGCCTAGGTCCCAATGATGCTGTGAAAATGATGAGACAAAACTAATTTGAAAGGCAACGGCAACTTAAGTGCTTTGGGGTAACAATGTTCTCCTAGGGACCCTGAGTGTTCTGTGACTAAGGGAGAAGGCTCATTTGTTACTTGATGTTATCAGAATTTCTCTTGCTAGCAAATAACAATTTCTTACTGTTGCTTCATCGTTTGCAGTGCTACACCCTGGGCGTGGCACAGATCTTTGTGGAAGATGAACTTGTCGGCAGAGAATGGTGGAGGCACATATGTTTCATCCACCACCAAGCTACTGAAGCACGGCCTCCTGTTGGCATATGACGAGGTACAGCACTGGCCAACACCAGAGTTCACAGGATTCTCTTCATGCCGGAGGCATAACTGCCCAATAATGATGTCAGCCTAGTTAGGAACATACAAAAGAAGAAAGCAAGGAGATTGAATATTAGCCATAAATTGAACCAGGTCTGCAGAAAAATACTGCAATAATTTTTAATGTCTGGCATTTTAAATTAATATAACTGGAAAATTGTCTATGTAGGAACATGTGCTGCCATATGATAGTTCTTATTTATCCTTTGGAATAAGTTACAGTTCTTAATAACATGTTCCATTAGTGATACTGAACAATCCCTTCTGCCATTTATGTCAGATCTTTGAAGCATGCTTCCAATTATTAAAAGGAGGGAACAGAGGATGGCAAAAGTGTCTGTCTTAACATAGGGACTCAATCCAGGATTTACATTTGCCATAGATGTAAGTTGAGCTTTCTATTTTACTTCAGGGATTCAGAGATTCCATTTCTGAATGTAAGAACAGCACAGGCATGCATGTCTACATACATATAGCTAACATATAGTCCTAATTAAAAAGAAATTGAGCCATTGCATCTGTATGGCTTTCCTAGTTTAGAATCCTCCCACTCTTCGGAAGGTATTTCTTAATTAAGCACTTACTAATAATTTGCAACAAGAGTCAATATGTTTTGTGTGCACACTTTGTATCAGATTAGTGTTGAGTGAGTTATATAGATCAGCTTGCTTAACACAGGTGTAAAAGTGCAATTAATAACAATCTATATTGGGCCCTCCCTTGTGGTGCAATGGGTTAGGACACAGCACTGCAAGCTGGCCGCAGCCCCTCAGTGTGGGTTCGATCCCTGGCCATGGAGGTGACCCACATGGCACGGCAGACCTCTCCTGACCCACCTGCTGCTTCCCCTCAGCCTGCTGCTTCCCCTCAGCCTGCTGCTACCCCTCAGCAGTGTACTCTCGTTGATCTGCCTGTTCTGCTCCCCACTCTCACCATCCCTGCACATCTGGCTTGTATCCCAGTTCTGTATGCATAAATAAATAAATCTTTAAAAAATAATAGCAATCAATATTATATTTGAACTTCTTTTTTGTTTTTGGTACAGGCTCCTGAAATTTTTGGAATTTCATAAGTGATAAGATTTTTAGTTTTACCTCCTAAACTCCAGCAAGAGAAACATTAAAAATCAATCAATAATGATTAATAATCCAGTAAGTAAAATGTTTGAAATCTATGAGTCATTCTAACAATTTAATCATAAAAGAGGAGAGGGCTATATGATCTTCTGGTCTGTAGCTGGTCAGTCAGAAGCACATCTATATTTTCAACTGATAGATCTGAGGTAGTGATAATGGGAGGGAGATTTGTTCTCTTCTCCACCCTACATGCTGTCAGCAAACAATGTCCCCAATCATAATAAAAAGACTACTACAAAAGGCAAAATAGAAGCAGCTAAAGACAAAATGACTAATTTTATCTACAAAGTGAAGCTTTTTATCTTTTTAACATTACAATAAATATTTAGTAGACAAAAAAATTTAAAAAGTCATGAAATGAATGACATATTGTTAATCTGCTTTCTATGCATAAAGCTTGTTCAGACAGCCCTTCTAGAAGTTGAAGAAGCCTGACCACATGCCAATCATTAAGAGCTGAGAAGGCTTGCTCCCTTCGACTGCAACTAGTGGATGGAAGAAGTCTAGTAAAGCCACCTCCACAATGAGTTTCACCATTTACCCTAAATAGGAAGCATGAGTTTATTTCCAGTCTAACAGAAACCAAATGGAGTAAACCAACACTCACCGCTCCCTCACCACAGGCCAAGCGTTTGTCCCCACTGAGCTGGCAACAGGTGGCTGCAGCGTTCGTCATCTTCTTGGTATAGGCCATCAGCTCAGGTGAAGTCAGCTGAGGGGCTTTCTTGGCGTAAGCAACAAGAAATCTGAAAGCATTTTCACCAAATCTTGCTGAGTCACTTAAACTTTCAGACTTCCTACTCGTTCTCAAAGACCCTCTTTGAATATCAGAAGATACGAAGTCAGCTCATTTATTTCATCCACACGGTATTCGGAGCAATGTGAGATATACTCTCTAACACCACTTCCTATATTCCTGTCACCCCAGCCATCACCGTGGGAAACAAATTCTGGGCCTTTAGTTCCTGTTCCGAACTTCAAAAGCTCATTCACTCTAATATATTTTTTAGTTTTTGCTCTTTTGACTATAACAGGCCATGACAGAATGGATTTTTTTTTTTTTTTTCCAAAAATCGACATGGTAAGGGTAAACCAAATCAGGAATACTGATGGGTTTCACAGGCTATTCTTGTTGCTCCTTTAAAGAGGGGATTTACCATGCTCTGTTAAATCAATGCCTGTTAAAGATATGATGATACTAGTGTTTGCTATTACTACTAAAGCTCTGAATACTGGTGTTTAAAAAAGAGGGGCTTTGGGAAAACTGACCTTCCTGTGGGAGAAAATAGATGATTAAATTATACTGACTTCCAACATGAAATAGCAACTGGAATTAAAGTAAACATGAGTGACTAAATTAATTTTTCTTTCAGGAGTTAACAATCTTAAATCATTAAAACACTCTTTTTAAGAACATACTCATTTTGCAAGTAATATTCTCCTAATTTCTGGAAAAGACCACAGCTTCGCTTTGCCAATGCGTGGCTCTCCTGAATATATTTCTCCACTTCTTCTTCCTGAAAATACAAAATTATTACATACATACATTTTTCTCTTTCTAGATATTTATCTTCACATATAAAAATTGACTAATTATATTTTATTCTATTATAATGCCAATCTTAGAGAAATAAACTTTAGAATTTTTTAAAATATTAAACATGGTAAAATGAGAATTGTGAGAATAAAGCAAATGGGCTTTGGGGAGATTAAGTCTAAATCTTTGTGAATCACAAAATTATTTGATGGCAGGATTCAATCTTTGGATAAAGGATTATAGCTCTATCTATACAAAATTCTTGCCTTTCTGGAGCTGTTCAAAAAGGAATAGAAATTTTGGTTAATTTTTTAATTTCTAATATAAGTAAAGCCATTAGTTGTTGACTACTAATTCATAATTACTTAAAATGTAGATAATAGGTTAACAGATACAACTTATTATTAGTTAATAGCTTCATGCTTTCAAATAAACCATATTTTAATGATTATCATTCAGAATTTCAAATTACCCCTAAAGTCATAGAGAAATTTACCCCTTTATCCTGGCATTCAAGAGGACTTTCAGACTGGGCACACTTCTCTAAAAACTCCTTGTATCCATCAACAGCTCTTAGAACTACTGAGACAGCAAGCTCAATATGCCTTCTTGAATATTCATAAGTAAATCTGAAATATGTATAAAACATATCCTGTTATTGGAATTAACAGACAAATTATTCCTGTGTAATATTGAATGCAGACTTTAAAATTCAAGTAAATAAACCTAGAAACCAAATAGATTTATACTATCTGAATGACAAAACTATTAACACAAATTATAATCCTCAAATTGTAGTAATTTGATGTTTTGTATTCTTTTGCATCCTTTGACTTTTCAATTATGGGATTTATAGTCATTCTTTCAATTTTTTTCTTGTGTCTACTCTATGCAAACATTTATTTTAGCAATAAGAATTCCATAATTATAGCTAGAATATAATTCCTGACTTCTGAAAAGGATACAGTTTTTTAAAAATTTATTTATTTATTTATTTATACATATAAGAACTGAGTATAGGATATATGCAAGGATTCACCAGAGATAGAGCGGGGAACAAAATAGGTGAGTTGACTGAAATATGTTGCTTAGGGTAGCAGCAGGAAAGACAGAAGAGGTTTGCTGACCATGTGGGTCAGCTCCCTGCCGGGGAGCAAACTAATGCTGCAGTGGCTGCAGATAGCTTCATAGTGCTGGGACTTAACTCCTTGCACCACCAGGAAGGCCCTCAAAAACATTATTATAGGCCCTCCCTGGTGGCACAGCGGGTTAAAGCACAGCACTGAGAATCTAAAGCCGCTTCCGCATGAGTTCGATTCCCGCCTACACCGGAGGTGACCACATAGCGTGGCAGACCTCTCCTGACTCGCCAGCTGCTCCCCTCAGCAGTGTACTTCGTAGATCTGCCTGTTCTGTTCCCCACTCTGTCTCTGGTGAAGCCTCTAACCGCCCCTGAGCCTCTGGCCTGCACCCCAGTTCTGTATGCACAAATAAATAAATCTTTAAAAATAAATAAATAAATAAAATAAAATAAAAACATATATTATAAAGAGATGAATAAGAAATGGGTCATCTAATTTGAGGTAGTGGTAAGTCTTGCAGAGAAATAAGAAAGATTAGACAAGCAGGGGAAAGGTGACATCTAATTTAGACTGTGTGGTCAAGAAAGTCTCTGAGAGACTATTTCAAAACAGAAACCGGGTGAAGGGTTCAGACCACACATGTCTGAGGAAGGTAATTCTTGGTTAAGGAAACTTCTACTGCGAGAAACCTTTTCAATTGAACTGCTTTTATTATACCAGAAAAAGCTTTGGGTGTGTGTGGGGGGGGGAGGGGATGTATGGATTTAAAGATAATTCTTCAATTTATTAATTCTATTACCAAGTTATAGAAATAGTCTGCATTTAGTTCTGCCACTAATAAATTATCAATATGTGCTTTGTACATCTGAACTTTGTTCTTGTTTGCGTAATTTTATCTAGCAGTGCAAACAACGTGTGACAGCCTAATCTTAGTGCAACAATAGAGTGATGTCCTCAGGGAATATTAAAAAGAAAATTGGGCTATTATTTTCATTACTACATTAGAAGCTGACTCTTAAATTTAGAAAGAACCTTGGAGATCATTAAGTATAATGTCCTAAGAGCTGCACAAATCCCTCCTCTAATAGTGATTATAGATATATGGTACAATAAAAGAAAATGTATTAACGTGAATCCTTGCTCCCCTTAAAAGCAAATGGAATAAGAACAAGTCCTAACCATTATATTATAGCCAAACTCCTTTCCTAAAGTGTCTCTCAACATGCTTTGATTTCCTTACAAAAACAAAACCTATTAAATAAATAGCAAATAAACTATTCCAGTAAAAGCCCTTGTCTTTAACTTCATCTAGTGACTTCTGTATTTAGGAGACATACACAGTGGACTCAGCAGCCCTTCTTACTACAAAATTATAATCATTAGCCCTTCTTGTTACAAAAATATTCACATCTTATTTGGAAGTTCAATGAGGGTCTTCATATGAGTGATTCATAAAGAGATGACAATGTTTTAGACTCTAGATAATTGATTCAAGCTAAAATACAAACCCTTAACTCACACTATTAATAGCAACAGTGTTATAATCTCATAAGAATAAGACAGATTTCATTCCAATAAGTTAGTTATTTGCTTAAATACATTTTGATAAATTCTAAGCTCAAAAACCATAGCCATCATTCTCCATTTCAAAAAATGGAGTCACATAATAGTCATTATTTATGTGTGAATATAAATTTAAAGAATATGTTACCTTGCCATGGATATTTCTTTTTCCCTTGAAGAGAACTGGCTGAAATGTCTATCTCCTAAAAGTCCTTTTAGACTTGGGGATAAGCCTTCAGGTTTTTCATCATTTTCTACACGCATTACACAGAGACCAAGTTCAAATATGGGCAATTTGCAGCATTCTGCTAATTTGCTTGACAGAATAGCTTGCTGAGAACATATGTAGGACATAATTCTTTCCTATAATGGGGGGAAAAAAGTAAATATTTCTTAAAGCTTTATTCTTTAGTTCAAGATCTCAGGGCAGGCTCTAAGAAGGGAGGAATTTAGAGCGGAAGAAAGGGGGCGGGGAGAGACGGTGAAATGACATAGAAAGAAGACATTTACCTCACTTCCCATTTTAGTGTTTTTTTCCCCACTTTACCTTTCTGAGTTTCTTCCATCTAACCCTATTGGATCATTCACTCTCTTCAGACTGTCTATGAAAACCTATTATTCTATTGCAAAGAAATATTTTTAAAGATATAAATGTGTTCCTCAAATTAAACACTGCTGTTTATCTTTCTATTAGCATTGAAATTTGCTGTTGACAACACTGACTTTTGAAGTCATAACATGGACAGCAAACAATCTGCTAACGATACTTTGACAGAACAATCTGCAGTGATGACCTCCAGAGGGCAGTCTACACATAATTAAATGACAATATATCTATGTGGCCAGAAAAAAATTAAGCTTACAAAACCCTATTAACAGAACAGAATATTCTGCGTATTATCATCAGGGATAATTATATCCCATTACTCAGCCATTGAAGCCCAATTTACATATTATACTGAACTCTATTTTTTTCACGTTAAAGTCAAAGGGTAGTTATGAACTCAAAAAACTGAAAAACTAATTAAAACAATAGAATGTCCCTAATATGCAGTAGGTACTTTGAAAAGGAAAAGTAAATAAGGCAGAAAAATCTGCTTTTGGGGGTGGGGTCATCACCCCAGCAAGCACTCTCTGCTGTTCATCCGCCTTAGGTGTTCCCTACAATCTGGGTCCAACTGATTTTAAAGGACATCGCTACCAAAATTCCATGGAGCTGGCCTGACCTGAGCATTTTATCTTCACATTTAACAGCTCCCTGGAAACAAAATTCCAGCCCTGATTTTCAGTGACTTTAAGCCTCTTTAGAGAAAGATTTATCACAGTGGACCAAAGAGAGAGTAACCTGGAACTAGAATGGCTTCTCATACATTATCTAGGCAGCCTAGGATTTGATTCAAAATAGACCACCCTGCTGACTAGTGGCTGACTAGGATATGCTGTTGGCTTTTTTACCTTGGGTTTTTAATTCTCCTAAAGTTCTTTATTCACAGCTTTCTATGTCATAGCTAACTTTCTTACTTTGGAAACCAGTTTCTTCTGTTACATTTAAGTATTCATATAATAGATAAATGAATATATAACAAGATCTCTTTCACATGCCAGGCATTGTACTGGCAACCTTGGAGCTAACAGCAAATGAAAGGCTGTGCCTTCTTGATCCCAGAAGGTCACATGTCTTATCTCTTCTAACAAACTATAAATGCCTGGAAGTCTGCTTGCGCCTCCATAACAAGTGGCCCTCAAGTGTCTAGTGTTTTGTCAAATGAAAAAAAAAAAAAATGGATGGAAAAGCAAATACACTCAACATAAAGAGTCTGTTTCCCAAGAGCCTATATGGAGATGTCAAGAAGAGCTACCATTTTGTGAAATAAGAAAAAGAAAACTACTGATGGTTTCACTCATAGCAGGAGTGTAAGGGGTTACAAAAAGCAATTGTAATAAAGTGAAAATGAAAACTAACAAGCAACTATAAACCAGAGACATTCTACAGGGTGGAGAGAGAAATAGGGTCAAAACTGTGTTGGAAGAACACACAGGACTATGGGGGTGGGTGAATTGGCCGTGGGAAGTCCATGGGGATAACAACTAAGATGAAAAATGTACAAAATGAAGAATGCTGTAAAATATGTATTATATTATATATATAAATTTTAAAAATGAATGAATGGGCGTGGGCCTCACAGAAGGTAGCACTTCTGAGAAAAAAAGAATAGCAAGATTAACAAAAGATGGTCTAATTCTTTTAATCAAGAAGTCTGTGCTTTCACTTAGTCAATTAACATACCCTGTGACCAACTAAAGCAGAAAGACTTCTCCCACAGAGAATGAAAAAAAAAAAAATAAGAAAAAGAATGGAAAGACATATTTTTAGGAAGCAAGACTCTTTACCCCATCCTGGATACACTCCAACATGTTTCCTCGGCAACATTCCTCATGTACATGAGTCACATCCAGGACCAGTCTCTGAATTTCAGTGAAATTAGCTTTGGGAAACTTTTGACTCAGTTCAGTAGTAACTCTGGTGTGAGGGTGAAAGAATTAGAGATCAATATTGATTATGAAAATTAAACCACATTTATAGACTATTAGTATATTTGTAACTCCAAAGGAAAACAATCTGAAATGTTCTTGTTACTTGAAAAAAAAAAAAGAAAGAAACTGCTTATTGGTTCTGAATCAATCCTTTAAGGGACTGACTGTAAAGTATGACCTTGGTTCCCAAAGGATTTGGAAGTAACTTTCTTGCTCTAAAATAGTTCATGTGAATTTCAGTGAAATCTATATTTTTGCTTTTCATTCTTAATGCTGAATCTTTACGATCATTGTTGTGAGTTCAGTGGGAAACAACTAAAAATGTGAACTATTACAAGTGGAAAATTCTAAGAGAATATTAACCATTTTTGCCCTTCTGAGGGAAAAATACTTCTGAAAATAAAGGAAAGGATACATGTTTGCAAATCAATGAAATGGAACCAAAAAAATGGAGCAGAATGTAATATCGCCCAAAAAGGGGAAGAAATAAGAATTATTGTTCCTTCTACATTTTAAATAATTTTTAAGACTCCTCTAGGTAAAATCACTACTTCCCAGAACAATTGGTGTTGTTGCTGTTGCCAATAAATTATACATAATATCCTTTGATTAGCAAGCCAGGTACTTTTTATACTAGAAATAATTCATCACAAAAGGTGGAGAATACTTTAAACAAGTTATAGAATTTAAAATGTTCTAAAAAAATCACAACAAAAAGTAAAATGGGACATGTTAAATTCACTTTCGCAGAGTTTTTTTAACACAACATACAAAAGTCATTTATACTTTCTTCTTTATATACTAGCTTTGAATTCTGGTGTGTATGTTACGCTTAGACCACAGATCCTCATTTGTGCCAGCAACATTGCAAATGATCAGGAACTACATGTCGCTAATGGCTGCCATATTGGAGAGTGCAGTTTAACCCTCTGGTAGTTCTTATTTTTACATCTGTTCTCAAAATCTCATTTGTCAGAATACAGACAATTAGAAAACACTACATTGTAATCAAGTAGGCATAGAGAAAATAATATTCAAGGATTTAAAAAAATTGGTTCTAATGACCAACAGTGTGATCTTAGGTGAATTGCTTTAATCTCTTTTGCCCTCAAATTACTATTGTCTATAAATGAAGGGGGTGGAAAGGATGATTCATTTGTTTGCTTGATTGGTTGGTTTTAATATTCCGGTTCACCCTAACAACAAAGATAGAAAATGAGGTAGATTAGATAAATGTATGGATGAATGGATAAATAGATAATCAGATGATAGGTAGGTAGGTACGTAAAGACATAGATAAAGACTATCAAAGATAAAGGAAGCAGTTAAATATATTAAGTATAAGAGAGATCAATTGAAAGAACTCCAAATTTGTCTTTAAGCTATTTAGCAACTAGGACAAGAAACTTCAGTGAATTACACTGTTCTCATCAGCTAGAATACTTGCCAGTTCTTCAAAGGTAACTTTTTTCCTGACAGTTTTTTTTTTGCCAAATATGATTGTCTTAAATGAGTATTTTCAAAGGAAGTAATAACTGACATAACAAATTATAGTAAACTAGGAAGCAGAATTTCTTGTTAAGCCAAAATATGTCAGTTAAAACTAATCTACTCTATAGAGAATTCAGAATCTTCAAGAAATTCTAGGTCTAATGATGAGGTATAATTTTATTGCAGGTCAGGAATTAAAAGTATCTGAAAGAATTGCTAAAGATATTTATACAAATCTCAAATGGCTTCTCTAAGTAGCATCTCATCTAGACTTTAGTAAGCTTGAACAAGTGCTAACAGATCAATGTGTTAACTTCCTTCCAATCCTATGATCTATTCACATTCATGATTTTATTCACATTCACTCTCATCAAAAGAAACTACAACCTCTAAAACAGTGACAAAGAATTCAAATTGCAAGATGGAAGTTCTGCAAGGTCACCTTCTCCTCTACATATTGCTTAAACTTACATGGCTTCAGAGGTTTGGGGTCCATATTTTTTTATCACTGCACACATATGTTGATTTACCAAGCTGCTTTCTCTTAGTACTTTTGTGGTAGATGCTGCCTAGATATGGGAGAAGCAGGGCATTAAGAAAGTGTGTATTTTTTTTTCAGGCTCTAATAATTAAAAATACATAATTAGACATAAGTAAAACATGAAACTACTAAAATTCTTTACTAATAATTACAAATGAATATGTGGAAGACAAACATAATCTAGAAGTCTGACTGCAGACTTGAGTTTACCAGAGTGGAAGGCTTGGAGAAGAGATGAAAAGAACTACAGTGGAGGATTATGGGTATGTTGATAGTGGTTGTGGGTTGTGGTATAGACCAACAACCCTAAATTATAAACAGTGTTGTAGATTAACTTTACCTAAATAAAAATAATACAATTTTCAGAGCTAAATATAAAAATTTTAAATGCAATATTTTTGCAAAACTTCATTCTTTTAGGTTCATTTATATGCACTTGTGCCCAACAGAGTTACTAAATATATCTTAAAAGCAAAATATTAAAACTTTTCTCTCTCTGGGATAATGAATAAATGTACTTTTAACAGCTTTATAACAGATTAAAATCTGATAATTTCTCAAATATCTTTGCAATAACAAAAAATCATAATCTTCTGTCAGCCTGACATTGTGGCAATGATGGCAATTCTTAGGAGATTTTTGTTGCAAGTAATTAAGTGTGGATATCATTTCAGCCATCTTAACCTAAGATAGCTATTCATGTTACTAAATCAATTGTTGTCAAATTGCAATAATACTTACATCCCAAACTTAGTCTAAGGACTAAAAGAAATAATAAAAGTAAAGCATTTTTCATCACTCTTTCCCTGTTTTGTCTTTTCTTCTGCTCTTCATGTGTTCCTCCTAACCTATCTCCTTTCAATCCCTCTTTTACTTCTTCCTCTTTTTTATTTATACTACCACCTCTATATCTTTTTTCTCTATCTCACCAAATTCACTTCCTTACTAGTAAGATAACTGATGGTTAATGAAGGAAATATTGACTGAAAAAACAGCACCCAAAGAGTATGACTGCTGAAATACAGTCTAGTCTGAAAATGGTGCTCTATACACAATATTTAACTTTCTTTATGAGTCACAGCCAGATAAAAGTATTAGTTTAGATAGCCACACAGATATAGTACCTTTGTTTGGAAGCATTCAACTGCATTTTCAGCTTGGCAGCAAGGTAGAATTATTTTGTCATAGTGAGTAGCCAGAGAAAGAATTGTAGATGCATACAGGTAGGGGTGTCTTCTTGCCATTTCATAGATATATCTGTAAAATGAAATAGTTCCTTAAGATTAAGAACACATAGAAATAAGACTACTGCTTGGATATAGACTCTGAAATTAGAGATTGAAAAAATGATTTTTTCCTACATGTCACCAAAAATTTTTCTCACTGAAGATAACCACTGTGGGGGGAAATCTGCTGGCTGATGACATGTTCTATTATGTGGAAAAAAAAAAAAAGGACAGATAATGTTTCAGGGAATAGCATGGACAGGCCTCCATAAGGACAACAGAGAAGATTCTTTTGCTCTGTTCAATGTAGAATGTAGTTATCCACCTTAGTGTTCTCCATATTGGAGATGCTCTGTAGGAAGACTACTCTGATACAAGAAAAGAGAAATGATTAAAAGTTAGACATAGGCTACCCCAACAGAGACACTGGGCTCAAATCCCACATTGAGAATGTACTACTAGTGTTCCCTGAGTCAACTCTCTTTAACATTTAATCTTCAAATTCCTCAAATACAGCAGGGGAAGAAAAAAAGAAGAGAGAGAGGAACCTTCAAAATGGTGCTTGTAAGCATTCAAATCATCATTTATACTGCACACACAGGTTCCTGTAACATCCTAAGGGTATGATAATTGGAAGCCATGCCTGTGCACTTTAAACATTTTAGGTTAATAAACATGTTACTAACATTTCTATTATCTAGACAATTTGGTGAAGACAAAATACTGAATATTTGGTACAGAAGGAGACATTTTGTGTGATGTTAGTAAATTCTTGGGCAAGCTAACATGGAAAGATTAAAAGCAAGGTGTACCTCAAAAGGTTATAGGAAATGCTGGTGGATTAGAGCAAATTTCAGCTTTACACAAAATGGCATGTAATCACACTAATTTTACCAGAAGTAACTGATACAAAGAGTTCATTTCTGATGACATATTTGTGGTCACAGAAACATGACTAAACTTCTGAAGAATGCAAACATGTCTAATGTCAAACAACCATTTGTTTTCACTCATATATTCAGTTTCCAATCTACTTTGTCCTGTGACAGGAGCCTATCCTGGAATCTCAGGGTTCAAGTTGAAGAACCAGCTCCGGACAGGACACATTCCGTCATAGCTTACAAATGAAATATACCAGCCAACCTGATGAGAGGAAACCTCTTATCTGAAGAAAACCCACACAGAAAAGGGTGAATGAGTCAATTCCACAGAGATGGTAGTCCCAGCTAAGAATCAATTTTTTGTCCATCTCATTTCCTAGCCCAGGACCTCAGCAGATGTAACACCAAACATTACTTCTCCACATTTAGAGTACATCTATGTTTTGCAGGAGGACTGGAATCTGCTTGCTACTGGTTGGTACGCCTTTCTCTGAGGTCTTAATTTACCATGCAGTTAGATCCTTACCGATTCATGAATGCCTCCCTGTTTTTTTCGTATGCCTTACAACTCGTGACAGGTTCTGGAACCTGGAAGGGCGGGATGGATGCTGGGGCAGTTTTTTTGCGTGCTAGCAAGCAGTTATGTCTTTCCTCTTCACTTTGGCTGCAGCAGTCTGACAATCCATATTTTTCGAGAATTTCCTTCTCGTGGCAAATTTCTTCCAGAAAGACAGGTAACTGTAAGAAAAAAAAATCTTAAACACAACTAACTTCACCTAAAATTATTGGGAAACACGTGAAAATTTTTTGATATTCAAAATCAGTACTAGAGATTAAGAAAATAATTCCCATATAAATTTCAATACATTTTGTTTTAGCCTGATTAGATTGCTTTCTTTAATGCCTTTTGACAATGAAGATTTAGTTTCCAATCTTGACTAAAACATGACTTCTAGACAAAATTATATTACTTTAAAAGGAAAAGAAACATTTGACATTTTGTTCTGGTACTTTAATGGTGGGCATAGTATAGCAACATTTATTTAAAGAGGTATAAAACTATCTCTCCAAATAATATAGAGTGTTGTAAAAATTAATGTTGCCTCAGTAAAAAAAGTTGCACAATAAAGGGATTTTTAACTTCTGCTTTGATGAGGAAATTGGATATTATTTTCACATAAAATATATTTTAAAAAAATAATAATTTAAGGATGCAAAAATAGCATCCAACACTTTTCATAAAATTTTAAATCTTCAATTGTCTTAATTTTAAGAAAAACAGATAATGACATTAAAATTCTGATGTATACTTGTGAGAAATACATGCGTTTCATTCATATTTTATTATTTATATTTATAAAATATAATATATGTTCTAAAGATTATCGTTAAAGTTAATAACAAACTTACTATAAAAAAAGAAAAGTTTTTGTTTAGTTATTGTAAGAGCATACTAGGAATCTTAAGTAGGATTTCAAGTGTTTGATTCATAGCATATATGTCATAACCTATATAAAAATCAAGTTTTAAGTTTATAATGATAAATCACCAATTTGTAGCATTGCTTTAAACCTGGAGTTAAAGATGCAATATGGAATGCATTTTGTTAATTCATACAGATTTTCAGGTTATCAGGACAAATAAAAAATGGAGATACAAAACCAGGATTTCTATCAATTTCAGATTTTTATCAATTACAGATTCAACACTCAAATTCATAATGCTCTGAATCTGTAAAAGCTCATCTCCTCTACAATATTCCTGTCTTTTGGCCACTTTCTGCACACACCATGACAAAGGATTCTCCAAACATGTTACATCATTGGGTAGCTCTATTTATTACAAAGTTCCTGTCTACACTGAGGGAAAACAACGATAACTGTTATTTTGAGTTCTACATTAAGATATTCTTATATTAGGGCCCTCCCTGGTGGCACAGCATTAAGAAGCTAAAGCCACTTCAGCATGAATTCTATCCTCACCCACCCGGGAGGTGACCCACATGGAGCAGCAGACCTCTCCTGACCCGCCACTGTTCTTCCTCAGTCAGCCTGTTCTGCTCCCCACTCTGTCTCTGGTGAATCCTCTCACCACCCCTGCACCTCTGGCCTGTATCCCAGTTCTGTATGCATAAGTGAATATTTTTTTGAAAAAGATATCCTTATATTAAAAAAGTTTTCATGGCTTATCTGAAACTCAAACATCAGTGAGCATCATGTTTGTTTGCTAAGTCAAGCATCCCTACAAATGTGCTACATATCTTACATTCAGTGTAGCATGGGGCATGGTCAGGGTACAGTCTGGGTCTACCAATATATATAGCAGCTAATGCCACAGGTATTTGTCCTGAAGACTGATGTTCTAGTTTACATCTTGGTTCTGAGCCCCCTTAACCTAATTACTCTGCCACTCTGTGCTTCAGCTTTCTCAGCTGGAAGTTTAGTATCGTTGTACTGGAGCAAAGCATATCTTCTGCCAATAAGTTCCATCTAAGGTCTCTTAGCTCACTGAACATCCACTTATTCATCAGTGCTATGTTCTATGTCATAAAATATTTGACTATCAATGTGTCTATACCTCCTAGAAAATATCTGCCACAGAATACATTAAAACCTAACTCTTGTTGCAATTATTATATCAATTTCCATGACCATCCTGAAGTGGAAGCTATTATTATCCTTTACTTTACACAAGTAAAGCCAAAGAAGTTAATTACCATCCCCCTGGCCATGTAGAAACTCTTATTTCAGAGCCATTGCTCTTAATGTCCATGGCAATTTTGTCTTTTTATCACAGGTACTCATCATTTCATTATTGCTCTCATTAGCAACTCAAAATTAATCGAATGTTGCTTTCATACAACAAGTATTCAAATATTAAGTATTTCTCATGCCATCCCTGCATCTTCTCTACCGCATGGTAAACTTTGGCCAAATATCACAGTGCTTTTTAAAAAAAATATCTCACCTGGTTTTCCAGACACTCTGTAGTCTGATCTCTGACTGTGGGTCTCTCAATCACAGCCAATACCTCTTTCACCATTTTGCTTACTTCTTCATATGTGGCTTCTTGAACAAACTGAGCAAAAATTATGGTGGCTCTGAAATAAAAATATATCTGAGTGCTTAAGCAACAAATTTATAACAAGTTTCTTTTCACAAGTTATTTTTTTGTCTGCTTGGTTTTATTTCTATTATGTCATAAACTCCTTAGTGGATGACATTGACTAAAAATTGATGTGAAATGAGATTCTAGTCATCCAGAAAAAAAAAAATGTCAGTATTCTTCTCCCTTTCTTCTATAAATGTACCTGTATTGGCTAAAAGTCAAAAATATTTCTTATAGAAGTGGTTCTGGGCCTTCCCTGGTGGTGCAGCACATTAAAGCACAGTACTAAGAAGTTAAAGCCACTTCAGTGTGAGCTCGATTCCCACCCCAGAGGTGATCCACCTGGCGTGGAAGACCTGTCCTGACCCGCCCGCTGTTCCCCTCAGCAGTGTACTTCCTCAGTCGGCCTGTTTGCACCCCAGTTTTTTTTTCGCCATCCATTATTAGCTCCTAGGATTAAAAGCGTATTCAGAACAGAAAATACAGTTACATTATTCTGTTGGTACTGAAAAGAAAAATTACTGAACTCATATATGGCTACCACTGAAGAGACACTAATCTTTAATTGCTAAAATCTGATTTGTTTTGTCCCGTGAAATTTCAAGGAATATATTCAAGACATAAGGCAATACTTCATTCTCTTCTATATCAATTCAATTTTTTGGACATTATTCAATTTGTTTTTGTAATTTTAAAAAGGATTAGAGCTACCCAATTTCATTTAATTACCAGACTTAAATAATTATTGTTTTGTGTATTAAAATAAACTTATAGAAGCAGAACTTACATGTCAACTAAATTCACCTTTGCAGAACATTTGGAAGAGTCCAATATGGAACCTGGAAAGCAGGTAGGAAAATCATGAAAAATGTTTCTTCTTCAGATAATGACACTTTTTCTGAAGCAAAATGTATATACACAGATATTCTTTATTTGATTAGTCTGTTTATGAAGGAACCAATATTACGGCCTAGTAACACACAAAAAAAGACTTCAGCGTGGAGCCATTTATAGATAATGTTAAGATATTTAAAGACAGTATTTGTAAGCCTTTTGTAAAGTTAAAAGGTTATCATTAATTTAAAAATATTCATCAATCCAGTGTTTTCTTCTATGTGGTGTAGGAAGCATGACAAATAAAACAAGACAAATGAATAAATGAAATTTTAAGAACTTTGCTATAGAGAAAATAATAAGAACAATATCTTACCTATTCCATATGCACTTCTATGCATTGTTCTAGATTCAGTAAAACTTAGTAGGAAAATTAAAAAAATTGTTATCAGCCACTTCATGGTTGGTAGTTATTTCGTTGGTGTCAATGGTAGAAGGTAGAATATGGAAGATGATGCTGAATTTCTTATATACATTTCTTAAGCAATTTCTGTTAACTAGTAACCTTTTCTTTGTGCATCTTCTTAGGTTGCAAGTGAGACAGCTTGCCAATGATTAACATCACAGGGATTCTTTACATTTTATGTTCAAGGACACAGACCTTTTTGTGGGTGGAAAAGGAAAGGAAACTTGCAATTCATTCCATTTTGCAAATATAAAAATATTCTCAAGTGTCAAAGAAATGATTGCTCCCTAAATTGCACAATAATTAATTCCTTTCAAATTAGAAAGTTAATGGGGCACTAAAGGAAAGACCTCAGACTTTGTGTGAAATTCAACTAAATGCATTGATTTATTAAAAAAATATTTTGATTGAAAATCTATTATAGGCTAGGCCTTGAATATATTGTTTCACCAACTCAGACTTTCATTGAAGAAGACATTCCCTTAATATTATGTTATTGTTTAGCTCAAAAATATTTTTCACCTGGTTTGTATGTTAATAGCCCATTTTTCAGTATAAAATATACTATGTTTGGCTTAACATAGAAAACTTAGATCACAAACCCTGGTGATGAACCAAATGCTATAATAATTTTATTTGTTGCAACATACTTCTATATGCTTGTCAAACTCTGAATAAATTCAGCCAAACTGACTTTGGCAGCTGATTTGGCAACTAGAAATGCTTATGTTAACCTGAGTCTAGTTGATCTCATATCTTCCCTTTCTAAGAAGATACCCAAAGATAGCTTCACATTAAAACCACTTGAGGAACTGTTAAAATTTCCAATGCCAGCCCTCCCTGGTGGGCGCAGCAGGTGAAAGCACAGCACTGAGAAGCTAAAGCCACTGCCACATGAGTTTGATTCCCGCCTGTCCCGGAGGTGACCACATGGCGTGGCAGACCTCTCCTGGCCCGCCCGCTGCTCCCTTCAGCAGTGTACTTCGTCATTGTGCCTGTTCTGCTCACCACTCTGTCTCTGGTGAAGCCTCTCGCCTCCCCTGCACCTCTGGCCTGTACCCCCAGTTCTGTATGCATAAATAAATAAATAAATAAATAAATAAAAATTTCAATGCCAATATTGCATTTATGCCAATGAAATAAAAATCTTGGGAGTTGAAGATTAGTTGTCTATATTTTCCAAATATTTATAGATGATTAATTATCCTAAAGTTAATATTAAAAAGCAAGTGAGATCCAATAGAAAATAAATACAGTACATTCATAAAACAGAGTAATATGCATCCACCAAAATAATTATGTAAAAGAATATTTAATGATACAGCAATATACTCTTATCATTAAGTGGAAAACAAAGAAATAATATAAACAGAAAGATCAGATTTTGTACTTCCTTTTTTCTCTCCCTGCAAAAATTTGTATAAACTGAAAGACAGAAATGATGTACCACAAAATAATAACATTGAGTTTCTCTGCATGGCTAGATTGCAAGTGAATTTCCTATTCTTGCTCTCTTTTAAAACTCATACAATGAAAGAGTGATATATAATTTAAAAAGTAAAAATTTAAAAATAAGGTGAATTTATTTTAAAAAGCAGTTTATACTGCAAGTACTGTGGTGCAAAGTAAAACAAAATTCCATAACTTTGTGCAAATGTTAATACTTGCAGGAAGTACAAAGATTTCAAAGATACAATGATTTATCATAGCATGTAGAGATACTTCAGTGTTGGTCAAGTAAGATGCACATCATTTGATAGTTCTTGTTTTCTGCTGCATGTGGCATCATAGGTTTTAGCTCCTATGAAGCATACTGAAGAGAACAGGCCTCCCTCTTTCCTCCCCAATGAGAAGTATTGCTGCTCTTGTCTTCTCATGTAGGCATTAATGAAGCGTCACTTTCCTACAACACCTAGACAGGCTCTTTACTCAAATAACATAATACAAAAGCTTTCGTTATTAAGAACTAAGCCCATTGTATGGAGTAAACACAACACAGTTTGGTGAAGCGTCAACAAAATATCCAAAAACCTATTACAGATCCTGCTCCATGGTCAGCACTCAGTAACATTTGCTGAATAAACTATGAATATATTGATTTAAGGACAGCAAGAAGTTACATGTGGCAAATCTCAGAATTATAAACTCTGAAATCTTTATGATGTTACAGATTAAAATGTTGCAAAAGATATACAAAAAATTTTATAAATAGTTATCCATGTATACATATATAGCCATGGATGTATGTGTGTATCCCATGTCTATCTCTATGTACAATTTACAGGCCTGGTCTATCCAGTCTCATCATTCCATCAAAGATTAGCAGAGATATATGTAAAATGTATGGCAAATAATAGTCATTTACAAAGTATGATTATCCCATGTTATAATTATACATATAAACAGATACATAACTATTAATAATATGTGCACCTTGAGCTGGCAGTGTTTTGTGTCAGTCATCAATTTATCAGGGTGCTGATGTAGTAGCCTCATTGTCAGTCTGGGTCTCATTTACTTTTTTTCTCTAATATTTTTCTAGTTTTGTGTCCTTTTATCTTTCATATTCTTCCTTACCGAGCAGATCTATAATTTTGTGTCTTGTGATCAGACAGTCAATACACTTGTAGTTAAACATTTGGTTTCAGAAAGAATCTGAATTTTTGCTACTACACCTACTAGTTACATGCCTTTGGATTAAGTGTTTAATTTCTCTGGATTTTATGTTCATCATCTATAAAATGAGGATAGTCATAAACCTTTTCCCTTTAAACAAGGATTAAATTAATTCATTTGACAGATTAAATCAGTATGCCAAGCACCCTCTTCGATGGGATTAATCAACAACAGGCACCATCCCCTCTCTCACTGAGTTTACCAACTAGCGAGAGAGACAGACATTGACATCAGCAATCACTGCACAGTCCAACCGGCACATTAAAAAGTTAGTGGAAAGAGGAACACCACCCACCTGTCCAAGTAAGGCCCCCTGGAGAAGTAAGATCTTAGTTGACACAGGGAGAAAATTTGAGGTGGGTCACATAAAGAGGGAGGGAAGATGCCCAAGAAATGTAGAAAGTGAGCAGAAGCCTCCTGGTAAAGAGCAGCACAGGGCCCTCCCTGGTGCCACAATAGGTAAGGACGCAGCACTGCAAGTGTGAGTTCGATCCCTGCCCCAGAAGTGCCCCACATGGCTTGGCAGATCTCTCCTGACCCCTGCCCACTGCTCCCTCAGCAGTGTACTTCGTCAATCTGCCTGTTCTGCTCCCCTCTCTGCACCTCTGGCTTGTGCCCCATTTCTGTATGCATAAATAGAAAAAAATCTTTAAAAAAAGAGTAACGCAACATTTAAGGAACTAGCAGAAATGCCATTTTAATGAAACGTAAAGTTATAGATAAGGGAACTCATTTTGTAAAGGGAATTTCCAGCAAGTTGGTGGGTAAGACATCTCAAAGACTTTCATCAAGTGTGTAGCTCATCTTTAGACAAAGGGAGCCTCAACAAGATTTCTTAAACACCACATCTATGTTCTGAAACTTTCTTGTTATAAAGGGGAGAAGATTGTGATAAAGAAATCAATTAGAGGTTTTTGCAAACTTATGGTATGGTCTGGGAAAGAGCCTGAATGAGAACTGTGGTATGGAAAATGAGAGCTGAGGATAAAATTGTATGAACAGGAAAAACTAAAAAGGACTTACTGAGAATGTGCTCAAGTTTGGAGGTATTAATTTTAAGATACAATGATCAGATTATTAAAACACTCCTGGTATATGCTTATTTTGTTAGCAAAATATGTAAGCAGAATATGCTCATTTGTATGTATCTTTAAGATCTCCAAGTACATTTTATCCCTTGGAACAAGATTTGGGCTGGAGGTGAGATTCAGAAATCATTGATTTGTAGAGGATTAGGATAGCTACGTGAATGGATGAATGGATGAGGTGACCTGAAAAGAGCTCCCCGGAGAGACCAGTATTGGTGACAAGTAGTAAAGAGGAGCTTTGAACCAGAGTTTATCTACTCACTGCAAACAATCCTTGATCTCTGTGTGTCATTACTCAAAGTTTTGTCCTAAGTTCATAGTTCACAACAAATTCTTTTCCATTACTATAATTTTCGCTGTTGACTTTTAGATAAATCTTTAAAACTCCATATAGGTCACACAGAATGGTAAACTGGACTTTGGTGTCAGACACATTCTAACTTTGAACATGCTAATTACTAGCCATACAACACCGGGCAATTAATTATTCTCTCAGATTCCTAATTTTCTCAAATATAAAATAAAAATGATATTTCTCCTGAAGTTTTTTGCATTGTATGTATAAACAGAATAATGTAATGGCAATAGATTTTTCTTAGTGCAGTGCTTTAACCCTCTGCGCCACCAGGGAGGGCCAGATTTTTCTTTAATAACCTAATGAGTGGTGTTAAATGTTAGACATGCTCTTCTCAAAGCCGTCAAGCTATATATGCAGATGCTAGAAAATGCCTTCTTAGACGATACTAGACTACTTATTCTTTCTGGGATTCAGTTTTTTTGTTTGTTGGTTGGTTGGTTGAAGTGCTGTGTTAGTTGAAAGTTGTTTTTGTTTTTGTGTTTAGTGTCTCTTCTCCTTCTCTATCAATGATTGTGAAAACTTATTCACCTTTCAGGTTTATATCAAGTAATTCTCTATGATGGTCTTTGTTATGCCCTTACTAAAGAAAACCCTCTTCTCTTTGACAACTTGAAACAGCTTTTAGATTGTTTTCCCAGGTATTTCTCCTTTGACATTTTATCAATTTACAAACATATGCAATTCTTCCTAGATAATTGACTTCTGTATTCAAGGACTCATCATCATTACTCCTAGCAAAATGTCTGACAAAAAGCAGAATCTTTATAAACAGAAGGTGAATGAAAGGAAATCAAATTGCTGTGAGCAGTATTTATGCACTAACCATCCTTGCTCATCGTAAACACCACAATCATTATAGTTCTCTCACCAAAG